TGTACAGGTGGTGAGACAGGTGTACAGGTGGTTGGACAGGTGTACAGGTGGTTGGACAGGTGAGACAGGTGTACAGGTGGTGAGACAGGTGAGACAGGTGTACAGGTGGTGAGACAGATGTACAGGTGGTGAGACAGGTGTACAGGTGGTGAGACAGGTGTACCGGTAGTGAGACAGAGGTACAGGTGGTGAGACAGGTGTACAGGTGGTTGGACAGGTGAGACAGGTGTACAGGTGGTGAGACAGGTGTACAGGTGGTGAGACAGGTGAGCCAGGTGTACAGGTGGTGAGACAGATGTACAGGTGGTGAGACAGGAGTACAGGTGGTTGGACAGGTGTACAGGTGGTGAGATAGGTATACAGGTGGTGAGACAGGTGTACAGGTGGTGAAATAGGTATACAGGTGGTGAGACAGGTGTACAGGTGGTTGGACAGGTGTACAGGTGGTGAAATAGGTATACAGGTGGTGAGACAGGTGTACAGGTGGTGAGACAGGTATACAGGTGGTGAGACAGATGTACAGGTGGTGAGACAGGTATACAGGTGATTGGACAGGTGAGACAGATGTACAGGTGGTGAGACAGGTGTACAGGTGGTGAGACAGGTGCTGTTGACGTCTCATGTCCTCTGCAGTACCTGACCATGGTGGAGCTGCTGGAGTCTGTGGACTGCATGGTGAAGAACGCCCCCTACAGGAAGTTCAGGCCGGAGGTCTCCGTCCGTCACAACACCAAACTCTGGTGAGTCCATCACAGGTCCAACAGGAAACAGAGTCACTTCCTGTCAGCACCTCCTACAGGCTGCAGACGTCACTGCAGCTGAACGGCTCTCAGAGTGTGGACAGTGATGACGTCTCACCTGAAGGTGGCGCTGGAGTGACCTGCAGTGGGCGGAGTCTAAATGGTTTAAGTGTTTGATGTGTTGATGTTTGAACAGGTTGATGTCACACTGTGATGTGACAGGAAACTGAAGCTGCTCTCAGTGATCAGAGGAGCAGCTGGTCGGCTGCAGGTCGACTGCTGCCTCCATCAGACTGTGTGTGTTAGTGTGTGACTGGTGTTTAAAGGGTTAATTCAGATTCACCACAGTCACACAGTGACATACAGACTGATGGACTGATGGAGGCAGCAGTCGACCAGCTGCTCCTCTGATCATTGATGTTAAAGGATAGTTTGACATTTTGGCAAATTCGCCTATTGCCGTAATCCCTATAGTCATATGAGTAGGTACATTACCTTTAATTATCAGTGCCTGCTGTTCTGAGATCGGTGGGGCAGAGCTGCCCGCTGCTCGGCCCACAAAATGGAGGTGAATGGTACGGCCCCCTCTCTCCCTCAAAACTAATCAAATACACCACCAAATGACTCCAAAACGCTCTAGTGGACAACTTGTAGCTTACACATTCACCACGCTATGAAATAATAATGTAATATTACGAGACAGAGTTATTTTGAAGCCAAATGCACAGCCGAACTACATTCCAGACATACAGTACTTGCTGGGCGGAGTGATTTCAAACAGCGTATGTTTAGTGCAGTTACTCCCGTCATCAAAACAGGTGTGTTTCACACTTGGCGTATCCTGCAGGATTTTGTATCTAGGTGTGAGGTTAAGAGGTCTAGACATTTGGAGTATTTGAAAACACAAAGAATACAAAAAGAAAATGAAATTACATTATTCTGCTTTATTATTGAGGTCGTAGTGGGTGGTGCTGGTGTACTGGAGTGCAATATATTGAAAAGTGTTCCTAATATTTTATCCCCCTTAATTAGACAAAATTAGGAGGCTACACCACCACCATTCACTATGACCTCAATAATAAACAAAGTAGAATCATCACTTTCTAGACAATGCCAACAATAACCGAAAATTTATAAGCTTCAGGGAGAATCTCATGGTATAGCCGTTCTACTGGATTGCATTAGATTCTACCGTTTTTTTTTCCCCGTTAAAGGGTTTTTTTGGGGAGTTTTTCCTGATCAGCTGTGAGGGTCATAAGGACAGAGGGATGTCGTATGCTGTAAAGCCCTGTGAGGCAAATTGTGATTTGTGATGTTGGGCTTTATAAATAAAATTGAAATTGAAATTGAAATTACACAGGTGTACCTAACAAAGTGGCCAGTGACTGCATGTTACATACATATGTTGATGGTGGGATGGGATGAGAGTACGCCTCAAAATAATCACTGGAACACGGGGAGAACATGCTAACTCCACTACAACATGAAATGTTCCCTAGCAGTCTGTTTATTCCCAACAATGAGAAGTAATGCCAGTCACTTCACTATATGATCTGGGCAGCACTTATCCATAACATAACCACAACAACATTTGCATTTCAGCCTTATTTACCATGCTTGGGTTGTAGGCTAATGTTACTCAACATGGAGGTAACGTTACAGCAGAGAGATTGCTGAGCAAAATAGACAACGATCACTTACCATGTCTGCTCGTTTAGTGATGCCGACAGATGGTATGACAGTGTCTTTCAAGAAAAGCGTTTGAACCATTCCTGAGCTTCTGCGCTCCATCTTTTCACTGTAGTCCTCCGGTAAAAAATGGTTGGAGCAAACAAACATTTTCCGGACCATTTCCACAGGCATGTTGGGGTCGATGTCCAGCACAAATAGTCATTGTTTCATCCTGTCCGTATTTTTGGTTGGTACTACGTGACATTTCACTCTGCTCCATGTCTTCGGCTTGTTACTGCAACCTTTTACAATACATGTGTAAATCATGATTTACAACAACACTCTGTAAACTTTCCTCAAACCTTCTGGTGCGTCCAGCTGACGATACCACAAATGGCTACAAGCAGTAACTACAGCACTGTCTCAGCTGCGCACTGTGTCACTCCGCCCAGTGGTTTACTCAAGAAAGTAGATCCGAGTATTTGCTTCATGTCGTAATATTACTTAATTATACATTACTATTTCATAGCGTGGGGAATGTGTAAGCTACAAGTTGTCCACTAGAGCGTTTTGGAGTCATTTGGTGGTGTATTTGATTAGTTTTGAGGGAGAGAGGAGGCCGTACCATTCACCTCCATTTCAGCGGGCAGCTCTGCTCCACTGATCTCAGAACAGCAGGCACTGACAATTAAAGGTGATGTACCTACTCTGACTCCGCCCACGGCACGACATCACTTCCTGCTGTGACTCCAGCCTGTTTCTCCAGACTGACCCTGACTGATAAATACAAAATCCAAACCGTCCCTTTAAATTAAACTCAGTTTCTGACATCTGACAGTTTTTGGGTTGTGTTTGTTTTCTGCTCCTCTGACAGGTGGATGTACGCCGTCAACAGCATCCTGGAGGTCCATGTCAGACGTGTCAGTCACATGTGGTCCTGGGCCAACATCAAACGGCACCGAGACAACCTGAAGGCCTACAGGACGGCCTACAAGACCAAACTGCTGAGTCCGAGCAAACTGAGTCCAGACACTGAGAGACACATCCAGGTCACACACACACACACACACACACACACACACACACACANGCAAACTGAGTCCAGACACTGAGAGACACATCCAGGTCACACACACACACACACACACACACACACACACACACACATACAGACACACACACACATACAGACACACACACACACAGACACACAGACAGACAGACAGACAGACAGAAAGACACAGACACACACACACACACACACACACACACACACACAGACAGAAAGACACACACACACACACAGACACAGACACACACAGACACACACACACACACACACACGTTTATTTTATTATGACTCTATGGTGGTCATCGCTGCATCTGGACACATCATGTTTTCAGGTTGTCTGTTCGTCCGTCCCATTCACCTGAACAATTCGTCCTATGAAGGACGTGAGCGTCGTCACACTCTGCACAGACGACCACAAAGTGATGACATTTTATATCCAAAAGGTCAAAGGTCAGCTTCACTGTGACATGTTTTCTGTCCATGACTCAGAGACACATCTGAGGAGGACACGTTGGGTCAGATCCTGAGTTTGGATCTTTGTGTTATAGAGTCTGTAGTTTCTGAGCAGCAGGAGTGTCGTCTCCTGTCACAGCTTCATGTGAGTCTGAACAGACGTGGACAGAAACTATAAAGACACCTTTCCACCAGACACTCTCAGGACAGAACCTTCAGAACCAATAGGAACCCCTCAGACCTGGTGCCCAGACCCTCGGTCTGTACAGACAGTCCTCTTAAATGTGGGCGGGGTTGTTGTGACATCATCACATTCCTCGAGTGTGTGCAGCCGCTGGAGAGTTTGATGTGGTTTGTAGTAAAGCTCAGCTGACAGATGGAATCAAGTGAACTCAAAAGTTCTGAACCAACATGAATCGTGACAGCCACGCCCCTTTATTACCTGTCATCCTGTCACTGCAGCGCTGCTTCCTGTCGTTTACCCCCCACAATAAAAGTCTAACTTTGATTACTCAGAGAATTTTGCTGAGGAGCAGCTCAACAAATCATCTGACACCAGTCACAGATAGATTCATCTGTCTCTGTCCTGACGTTGAGTCGTAGAGCTCCGCCCACCCACAGGCCGCCACAGTTAGTTTGTCCACAGTTTGTTCTGATCCTCAGTAACGTCAGGAGAGTCCCAACCACATCTTAACCCTGATTGGCTCTGATGACACTCGCAGGAATACACAGGAACCCGAATCTTCGTCGTCATCCACACCAACATTTCCTGTTTGTGGATCAGCCAACTTTTAACTTTGTGTCACCTGGCGTGAGTTTGTCTTTGCATTGACTCAGTTTATAATCTGGCTGCTGGAAACACTCCAGTCGTGTTCAGCTATGAAACACAACATGTTGTGAGACTGTGGCTTCCAGTGTTTGTCAGATGTTAAAGTTCCACAGGAAGAAGCAGGTTAAAGCTTCATTATAAATAAAGACGAGTCATGAAACTTTGTGGTGTTCAGAACCTGAGGACTGAAGACAAATCCTCTGTCAGACTTCATCACTTCTCCTGTTTACATCAACAGAAAAACCTGATCTGTATCTGTCATCAAACCTCAGATTAGACTGGTTCATACAGACTGCTGAGTGTGACGCTCCAAACCCCGCCCACCTCCGCCAACACACGTCCATGATCCATGACTTCCATCATTAGAGACGTCCATCATCAGAGACGTCCATCATTAGAGACGTCCATCATTAGTGACGTCCATCATTAGAGACGTTCATCATTAGTGACGTTCATCATTAGTGATGTCCATCATCAGTGATGTCCATCATTAGTGACGTTCATCATTAGTGATGTCCATCATTAGAGACGTTCATTATTAGTGACGTCCATCATCAGTGATGTCCATCATTAGTGACGTCCATCATCAGTGATGTCCATCATTAGTGACGTCCATCATTAGAGACGTCCATCATCAGTGATGTCCATCATCAGTGACGTCCATCATTAGTGATGTCCATCATTAGTGACGTCCATCATTAGTGATGTCCATCATCAGTGATGTCCATCATTAGAGACGTTCATCATTAGTGACGTCCATCATCAGTGATGTCCATCATTAGTGACGTCCATCATCAGTGATGTCCATCATTAGAGACGTTCATCATTAGAGACGTCCATCATCAGTGATGTCCATCATCAGTGACGTCCATCATTAGTGATGTCCATCATTAGTGACGTCCATCATTAGTGACGTCCATCATTAGTGACGTCCATCATTAGTGATGTCCATCATTAGAGACGTTCATCATTAGTGACGTCCATCATCAGTGATGTCCATCATTAGTGACGTCCATCATCAGTGATGTCCATCATTAGAGACGTCCATCATCAGTGATGTCCATCATTAGTGACGTCCATCATTAGTGACGTCCATCATTAGTGACGTCCATCATTAGTGACGTCCATCATTAGAGACGTCCATCATTAGTGACGTCCATCATTAGAGACGTCCATCATTAGTGACGTCCATCATTAGAGACGTCCATCATTAGTGACGTTCATCATTAGAGACGTTCATCATTAGTGACGTCCATCATTAGTGACGTCCATCATTAGTGACGTCCATCATTAGTGACGTCCATCATTAGTGACGTCCATCATTAGTGACGTCCATCATTAGTGACGTCCATCATTAGTGACGTCCATCATTAGTGACGTCCATCATTAGTGACGTCCATCATTAGTGACGTCCATCATTAGTGACGTCCATCATTAGAGACGTCCATCATTAGAGACGTTCATCATTAGAGACGTTCATCATTAGTGACGTCCATCATTAGAGACGTCCATCATTAGTGACGTCCATCATTAGAGACGTCCATCATTAGTGACGTCCATCATTAGAGACGTCCATCATTAGTGACGTCCATCATTAGAGACGTCCATCATTAGTGACGTCCATCATTAGAGACGTCCATCATTAGTGACGTCCATCATTAGAGACGTCCATCATTAGTGACGTCCATCATTAGAGACGTCCATCATTAGTGACGTCCATCATTAGAGACGTCCATCATTAGTGACGTCCATCATTAGAGACGTCCATCATTAGTGACGTCCATCATTAGAGACGTCCATCATTAGTGACGTCCATCATTAGAGACGTCCATCATTAGTGACGTCCATCATTAGAGACGTCCATCATTAGTGACGTCCATCATTAGAGACGTCCATCATTAGTGACGTCCATCATTAGAGACGTCCATCATTAGTGACGTCCATCATTAGAGACGTCCATCATTAGTGACGTCCATCATTAGAGACGTCCATCATTAGTGACGTCCATCATTAGAGACGTCCATCATTAGTGACGTCCATCATTAGAGACGTCCATCATTAGTGACGTCCATCATTAGAGACGTCCATCATTAGTGACGTCCATCATTAGAGACGTCCATCATTAGTGACGTCCATCATTAGAGACGTCCATCATTAGTGACGTCCATCATTAGAGACGTCCATCATTAGTGACGTCCATCATTAGAGACGTCCATCATTAGTGACGTCCATCATTAGAGACGTCCATCATTAGTGACGTCCATCATTAGAGACGTCCATCATTAGTGACGTCCATCATTAGAGACGTCCATCATTAGTGACGTCCATCATTAGAGACGTCCATCATTAGTGACGTCCATCATTAGAGACGTCCATCATTAGTGACGTCCATCATTAGAGACGTCCATCATTAGTGACGTCCATCATTAGAGACGTCCATCATTAGTGACGTCCATCATTAGAGACGTCCATCATTAGTGACGTCCATCATTAGAGACGTCCATCATTAGTGACGTCCATCATTAGAGACGTCCATCATTAGTGACGTCCATCATTAGAGACGTCCATCATTAGTGACGTCCATCATTAGAGACGTCCATCATTAGTGACGTCCATCATTAGAGACGTCCATCATTAGTGACGTCCATCATTAGAGACGTCCATCATTAGTGACGTCCATCATTAGAGACGTCCATCATTAGTGACGTCCATCATTAGAGACGTCCATCATTAGTGACGTCCATCATTAGAGACGTCCATCATTAGTGACGTCCATCATTAGAGACGTCCATCATTAGTGACGTCCATCATTAGAGACGTCCATCATTAGTGACGTCCATCATTAGAGACGTCCATCATTAGTGACGTCCATCATTAGAGACGTCCATCATTAGTGACGTCCATCATTAGAGACGTCCATCATTAGTGACGTCCATCATTAGAGACGTCCATCATTAGTGACGTCCATCATTAGAGACGTCCATCATTAGTGACGTCCATCATTAGAGACGTCCATCATTAGTGACGTCCATCATTAGAGACGTCCATCATTAGTGACGTCCATCATTAGAGACGTCCATCATTAGTGACGTCCATCATTAGAGACGTCCATCATTAGTGACGTCCATCATTAGAGACGTCCATCATTAGTGACGTCCATCATTAGAGACGTCCATCATTAGTGACGTCCATCATTAGAGACGTCCATCATTAGTGACGTCCATCATTAGAGACGTCCATCATTAGTGACGTCCATCATTAGAGACGTCCATCATTAGTGACGTCCATCATTAGAGACGTCCATCATTAGTGACGTCCATCATTAGAGACGTCCATCATTAGTGACGTCCATCATTAGAGACGTCCATCATTAGTGACGTCCATCATTAGAGATGTCCATCATCAGTGATGTCCATCATTAGTGATGTCCATCATTAGAGACGTTCATCATTAGAGACGTCCATCATTAGAGACGTCCATCATCAGTGACGTCCATCATTAGTGACGTCCATCATTAGTGACGTCCATCATCAGTGACGTCCATCATCAGTGATGTCCATCATTAGAGACGTCCATCATCAGTGACGTCCATCATTAGTGACGTCCATCATCAGTGACGTCCATCATTAGTGACGTCCATCACTGACCCTGAGATCAGACGTTCAGCTTGTTTACAGGCTGCTGAGTGTGACGCTCCAAACCCCACCCACCATCACTGACCTGAGATCAGACGTTCAGCTGGTACTTCCTGTCTGAACCATGTTTGTGTTTGTTTCTTCAGGATCTGGAGAAAGTTTTGGACGTCTTTAACATCACGTTGGCTCGACAGCAGGCGCACATGGAGGTACACACACTCTGAGCACTGTCATTATAGACATGTTTAACACAGGGGAGCCTTCACCTCCTCCTCCTCTTCTTCCACCTCACTCACTCCTCACTCCTCTCCTCCTCCTCCTCCTCCTCCTCCTCCTCCTCCTCCTCCTGCAGGTGATCAGGTCGGGACAGAAAGTGGTGGGGAAGAAGGCGGCAGGTGGGCAGAAGCAGGGAGGAGGAGGAGGAGGTTTCTTCAGCAGCTTCTTTGGTAGAAAGGCGAAGAAGGAGGAGCAGGAGCCAGAGGAGGACAAGGAGAAGGAGAGTAAGATCCTTTAATTTAAATACTTCATCACCTCCTTTATATCTCTCTCCCCTCACCATGGTAACCTGAAACACACCTGTCTGACCTCAGCTGATCAGACAGGTTGTTTATTGATTTAAATATTCAGAGGCCCCAGGACAGAACCCTGAGGAACCCCACCTCAATTATATACTCTGTTACAAGACAAGTACTCTGTTACAGTAAAAGTACTGCAGTAAATATGTAACTGCAGTAAAAGGACTAATACCACTGTTTGTGTGTAAAAATCTGAATCAGTTAAATAACTGAAGTTGTAACTTCAACCCTGACCCTAACTCTGACCCTGGAGGCAGAATAATGTAGGAAAAATGAAAACACAGCAGTAGACATATCTCAGGTTAGTACTTCAGAGTACCTCAGGTTGGTACTTCAGAGTGCCTCAGGTTGGTACTTCAGAGTACCCCAGACCTCAGAGTGAAAGTAGGGTGGTGACAGTCCGTGTGGTTAGGGTTAAGGTTAGGGCAGGGGACTGAAGGTGTGTCTCTGATCTGGTCTTCAGGTTCAGAGTTGGATGAGATCATGACGCCCGAGGAGAAAGAAAAACTCTACACTGCCATCGGCTACAGCGGCAGCTCTCACAACCTGGCGCTACCCAAACAGGTGAGGATGATGATGGTGATGTCAGCAAACACATGAAGGTCTACACAGCCTCATGACTTTTCCTGTAGCGCCACCATCAGGACAAACTTTACCTGTTTAGTTCCTGCTCAAAGAAATGATGAGGACTGTGTTTATTCAGTCTGTCACTCTGACACCTAAAGGATAGACACAGGTTCAGACAGAACTTGGTTCACACAGAACCAGGTTCAGACAGAACCAGGTCTTGGTGTTAGAAGCTGAGCTGGGTTGACCTCTGTGTGCCTGTGTGCGTTCAGTACGTGGCGGTTATCGTCACCTTCCAGCTGTTCAGAACCTCGGTGACGATCAGAGAGCAGCCAGGCGTTCCAGAGATCCTCAAAGTCCAGATGATCGACCTCAGCACCAAGATATCTCAGAGACCCGGCGCCCAGGCCTTCAGGTGAGTCTCAGCAGCATCATGTGACCACAAGTCACAGGTTCAATCCCTGCAGTGCTGTGGACATAAAGCTGTGTGCCGTCCTCAGGGTGGAGGCGGCGCTGGAGCATTGGTATGTGACCGGTTTACAGCAGCAGGGGGCGGTACCTTCGCTCATCGCCTCGGTGGGGGACTCCTCTTCCTCTCTGCTCAGTGTGGTGTTTGAGATAAACCCAGAGGAGAGCGCCTCCGACCAGCTGCTGCGAGTCCACTCTCAGCCCGTCGAGATCATCTACGACGCGGTAAAACACCACAAAGTGCCATCTGACCTCAGATCTGTCATGTTCTCATGTGTTCATCAGTCTGGAAACAGAACTGATGTTTGTTTCCTGCTTTCCGTCCTCCAGGTGACGGTGAACAGTATGGCTGACTTCTTTAAGACGGGGAAAGGTGTCGACCTGGAGATCCTGACCTCGGCCACGCTCTCCAAACTGGAGGAGATCAAAGAGAAGACGGCCACAGGTCCGTTGAACAAAGATACATCAGCTGAAGAATGAAGGTCTATCAGACTGTCTCAGTGTTTGGTTCAAAGGTTCATGATCCCCAGAGGATCGACCACCTCAGACCTACAGCTGAGTCTGATTATTACTGTTAAAGTCCTGATTATAGTCTAGAGCTCAGTCTGACTGAGGACAGTCTGGTCCTCATCAGACTCTGTTGGATTCTGGTCTCTGCAGGTTTATCTCACATCATTGAGACCAGAAAAGTCCTGGACCTGAGGATCGACCTGAAGCCATCCTACCTGCTGGTTCCAAAGTCTGGTTTCTACAGCAACTCATCAGACCTCATCATCGTGGACTTTGGCAGTTTACAGGTTAGTCCTGGTTTCATCAGACTTGTTTTACCTTCAGGTCACATGATCACCAAATATTTAGTTTGTTTTTAACCATATTTGTGATTTTTATTATTTTTAAAATCTTGGTTCCTGTCTGCAGTTGAGAGGTGTTTCCTTCAGGTTCCTCGTTTTCAGTCAAATTTGATGTTAACACAAACGACTGTCGTTTTTAACGTCAAATTTGATGTGTTTTTTTTTTTAGGGTTAGGGTTGTTTTTCTCATGAACAGATATTTTAATTAAACAAAGTTTAATCACAGACTCAGAGTATAAAGACATCGGTCCTCTGTAGCTCCACCCTCAGAGGTCAAATTAAAGTTCAGGGTTTGTCAGGTCTCCCGTTTGTTCTCAGATTTTTTGGTTCCACCTCTGATTTTATTTCTTTTCATCCAGATGTGTTTTAATGTTCAGACGTTCTGGTCAGGTGTCAATCGCAGTTTTAGATTTTTGTCCAAATTTTGTTTTTTTTACCTGAATCCCTCAGTTGTTTGTGATTTTCAGTTACGGGTATTTTTGGGATTTTTAACCTAAATTTTAAAATTTGATATTTTTCCTTTGGGCTGAAAACAAACTGAAGAACTGATATATTTACTGTCCAGATGTTGATGTTTGTGTTCAGGTTATGTTTGGTTGAACTTGTGTGTGTGTGTGTAGTTGAACAGCATCGAGCAGAGCGGGATCAGCTCATCTTTGTCCTCCTTCTCCTCTCTGGAGGAGATCATGGATCGAGCCTATGAGAGATACAACGTGGAGTTACGACGAGTCCAGGTGCTCTACAGCAAGTCAGGTATGCTACTGACACACACACAGACACACACACACACCACTTCCTGGAAGTCTGTGTGTGATTAAACCAGGTGTGAATGGATTCCAGGTGAGGCCTGGAAGTCGGCTCGTCTGCAGGGTTCATCAGTGCAACACATCCTCCAGCCGATGGACTTCACCGTCCAGCTGGCCAAGTGTATGGTGGAGAAGGACGCCAGGATGCCCAGGTGGGACTTGTACCTGTGGACAGGTGTCCAGTCTCTCTGCTGACTGCTGACTGTTACCTGTTTGTGTTTCAGGTTTAAGGTGTCAGGGGAGCTGCCGCTGCTGCACGTCAAGATCTCAGACCAGAAGATCCACAACGTTCTGGATCTGATTGACAGCATCCCGCTGCCCAACATGGACTCCTCTCCCTCCACCCCCACACAGAAGGTACACCTGGTACAGTCTGGTCTAACTGTAGCCATATCCCCTGAAAGAAACACACCAATCAGGAACTAAAACTGTCACAGTGAGCGTTTTGGACCAAGTTAAAGTTCAGTCAGAGAGATTCGGGGAGTGATGGGCAAATGTTGTTGATAGCATATGTTCAGAGACCTGAGGGGGAGGAGTTTAAGGAGTGAGAGCATGAGTTCAGAGACATGAGGGGGAGGAGTCTAAGGAGTGACAGTGTACGTTCAGAGACGTGAGGGGGAGGAGTCTAAACACTGACAGCGTACATTCAGAGACGTGAGGGGGAGGAGTTTAAGGAGTGAGAATATACGTTCAGAGACCTGAGGGGGAGGAGTTTAAGGAGTGACAGCGTACGTTCAGAGACGTGAGGGGGAGGAGTTTAAGGAGTGACAGTGTACATACAGAAACGTGAGGGGGAGGAGTCTAAGGAGTGACACAGGACGTTGGGAGTGACGCTCAGATTCCAGACTGACATCACCATATTTGGACATGTTTCCTGCTACAGGTGCTGTCCTTGGCGGAGGCCAGACCACGAGTGCTCAACCTTCATCCTGCGCTTCTTGACACCATGGAAACAGGTCAGTGCTGTCTGCGCTCTGATTGGCCGTTGAACAGTCATGAAAACAAAGAATCAATAGACTGTGTTTTATTTCATTTCTAAACTCACACGTGTTTCTTCAAGCTGAGGAAGTAAAAAAAAATGTATCAGTGTGTAACTGTAATAAATTGTTATTATGATGATGATGTCATAACTGCTGTTTGTTGTCTCTCAGATTCTGATGAAGATGCCAGTGAGAGGTCGACTGATGAAGATCCTCAGCGCTCAGCTGTGGATGAACTCACAGACCTTCACTTTAAGTTTGAAGTTAAAGAGGTTTGTTTGTTTGTTTGTCTCTGCTCTCAGATCAGTTTCATGTTTAGTCCATGTGAGACACCTGTGTGTGTGTGTGTGTGTGTGTGTGTGTCCTGTGGTGTGTTCAGGTGCTGTTGGAGCTGACTCGGCAGGTGGACCAGGAGAAGACCGTCCTGTGTCTCAGTGTCTGTCAGCTGGGAGCTGAAGGGAAGAGGCGGAGCTTCGACCTAAACGTTACCTCTTACCTGCGCAGAGTCACACTCGACTACTGTGACGTTCCAGGTGACGTACAGCTGACTGATGTCAGTGGTCATCTGATAGAGTCAGGTATTAAGGTGTCGGCAGGTGGACGACTGGTCCGTCACGTTCAACTGAGTCTGTCACCTGACGTCTGTTTCAACTCCGTCACATTAAGTTCAGACGAGTTTTAATGTTTTCATATCGTATGTTATTTACATCTTTTCATCATCAGTTCATCTTCACAGAGTCTCAGACGTCCTCCAGAGGATGTGTAAACATTCAGACTTTAATCCAGATTAAATGTTTCTTATTACTTTGATTACTTTGATTACTCTGATAACTATGATTACTTTTTTTTTTTTTTTAGATCAGACTGATTGATTATTAATGAATTAATGAACACATGAACAGTCCTGATCCTGTAGAACCAGGACAGAACTGAGACTCACCTGTTCAGGTGTGTCCGTCCTCTAACCAGGTAACATTTGTGTTGTTGTTTATCTTCAGATGGCAGGAATCGTCCTCTCCACCTGATTAGCTCCTCAGAGCAGCAGAGCTCTGACTTGCTCAAGGTGGAGTTCATCAAGGTGAGACCACACACACACACACACACACACACACACACACACCTGATCTACATCACACCTGATCTAATACACACCTGACTTACGTCACACCTGATCTACATCACACCTGACCTACGTCACACCTGACTTACATCACACCTGATCTACATCACACCTGATCTAATACACACCTGACCTGCGTCACACCTGATCTACATCACACACACAAACTGTGACAACGTCACGCTGCCGTTCAGTCTGAACAAAGACTCACTAACAAACACACACATAAACACACTCTGGTTCACCTGTTTGTGTGTGTGTGTGTGTGTGTGTGTGTGTGTGTGTGTGTGTGTGTGTGGTCCTGCAGGCCGACCCCGGTGGTCCCAGCTTCCAGACTCTGTTCAACAACACAGAACAAACACTGAAGGTGGGTGGAGTTAGTTTCCATGCCAACAGATGGCAGTTAGCAGCGAGTTTGAACATTCAGCACACTGACAACGTTAAAAATCAACGTAAAGATTAAAATCAGTGAAAAAGCTCAGAAACACAGGAAGTGTCTATGTTTGTGACGTGTCAGTGAGACGCTCAGTCATCAGGACGCCATCATCATCAGTGTTGTAACGTAGAGTTTAAATCCTGTGACTCCGCACCTGTCTGTTAGATCTGAAGATCTGTTTACCTGCTGCTGTCTCAGGTGGAGTTTTCTTCTCTGGACTTCCTTCTTCACACCAAAGCTCTGCTGTCAACCATCAACTACCTGAACAGCGCCGTGCCGCCGCAGCTCACTACAGGCCGAGACAGAGACATTAAGAAGCAGGTGGAGAAGGCCGGACAGAGCCGGACAGGTGAGTCACCACCTCCTGCTCTCAGGTGTGTCAGTGTGTCTGATGCTGTGGACGAGACAGGAAGTGTCTCTGCTCTCTCTGCAGTGTCTAAAGGGGCCAAAGATGGCGGCGTGTTCAGCTTCAAACTGTTCGCCATGTTGGGTTGTTTCCACGTGGAGGTGTGTGACGATTGCTGCAGCATCGCCGACATCAGAGTCCAAGGTACGAAATAAAAACACATCAGGTCCAATAGAGAGTGAGGTGAGCTGACAGAGCGCTCGTTACATCATCATGTAACTCCCACAGGAATCGATGCGTCCGTGTTAGTGCAGGTGAAGGAGACGCAGGTGTTTGCTCGACTGCGAGACATCGTGGTCACTGACGTCAACCCCCGAACCATCCACAGGAAGGTCTGAGACTTTATTACATCATCTCAGATTCTGATGTCATCACTTTGTATTCTTCCTCTGCAGAGCTGTGCCGTGGCTCTGAAGCTGCTGCTGCTGTTGTTGTTGTTGTTGTTGTTGTTGTTGTCTTGATCTCTGTGAGGTGATGCTGACCTGCCTCCCCCTCCTCTTCCTCCCCCTCCTCTCCTTCCCCAGGCTGTGTCCATTGTGGGTGAGGAAGTGTTCAGCTTCAAACTCTCCTTGTTTCCGGGGGCGACGGAGGGGGAGGGTTACAGCGACATGTCGAAGGTGGACGGGAAGGTCACGATGCGTCTGGGCTGCATCCAGATCATCTACCTGCACAAGTTCCTCATGTCGCTGCTGGTCAGATACTAAACATGTTCCTATACTACACACTACACACATGTCCTTATATTACACACTACACACATGTCCTTATATTACACACTACACACATATCCTTATATTACACACTACACACATGTCCTTATACTACACACTGCACACATGTCCTTATATTACACACTACACACATGTCCTTACACTACACACATGTCCTTATATTACACACTACACACATGTCCTTATATTACACACTACACACATGTCCTTATATTACACACTACACACATATCCTTATATTACACACTACACACATGTCCTTATACTACACACTGCACACATGTCCTTATATTACACACTACACACATGTCCTTATACTACACACTACACACATGTCCTTATATTACACACTACACACATGTCCTTATATTACACACTACACACATGTCCTTATATTACACACTACACACATGTCCTTATATTACACACTACACACATGTCCTTATATTACACACTACACACATGTCCTTATATTACACACTACACACATGTCCTTATATTACACACTACACACATGTCCTTATATTACACACTACACACATGTCCTTATATTACACACTACACACATGTCCTTATATTACACACTACACACATGTCCTTATATTACACACTACACACATGTCCTTATATTACACACTACACACATGTCCTTATATTACACACTACACACATGTCCTTATATTACACACTACACACATGTCCTTATATTACACACTACACACATGTCCTTATATTACACACTACACACATGTCCTTATATTACACACTACACACATGTCCTTATATTACACACTACACACATGTCCTTATATTACACACTACACACATGTCCTTATATTACACACTACACACATGTCCTTATATTACACACTACACACATGTCCTTATATTACACACTACACACATGTCCTTATATTACACACTACACACATGTCCTTATATTACACACTACACACATGTCCTTATATTACACACTACACACATGTCCTTATATTACACACTACACACATGTCCTTATATTACACACTACACACATGTCCTTATATTACACACTACACACATGTCCTTATATTACACACTACACACATGTCCTTATATTACACACTACACACATGTCCTTATATTACACACTACACACATGTCCTTATATTACACACTACACACATGTCCTTATATTACACACTACACACATGTCCTTATATTACACACTACACACATGTCCTTATATTACACACTACACACATGTCCTTATATTACACACTACACACATGTCCTTATATTACACACTACACACATGTCCTTATATTACACACTACACACATGTCCTTATATTACACACTACACACATGTCCTTATATTACACACTACACACATGTCCTTATATTACACACTACACACATGTCCTTATATTACACACTACACACATGTCCTTATATTACACACTACACACATGTCCTTATATTACACACTACACACATGTCCTTATATTACACACTACACACATGTCCTTATATTACACACTACACACATGTCCTTATATTACACACTACACACATGTCCTTATATTACACACTACACACATGTCCTTATATTACACACTACACACATGTCCTTATATTACACACATGTCCTTATATTACACACTACACACATGTCCTTATATTACACACTACACACATGTCCTTATATTACACATTACACACATGTCCTTACAGTACACACATGTCCTTATATTACACACTGCACACATGTCCTTATACTACACACTACACACATGTCCTTATATTACATACTACACACATGTCCTTATATTACACACTACACACATATCCTTATATTACACACTACACACATGTCCTTATACTACACACTGCACACATGTCCTTATATTACACACTACATACATGTCCTTATATTACACACTACACACATGTCCTTATATTACACACTACACACATGTCCTTATACTACACACGTCCTTATATTACACACTACACACATGTGCTTATATTACACACTACACACATGTCCTTATATTACACACTACACACATATCCTAATACTACACACTACTCACATGTCCTTATATTACACACTACACACATGTCCTTACACTACACACGTCCTTAAATTACACACTACACACATGTCCTTATATTACACACTACACACGTCTTTACACTACACACTACACACAGATAATATTTCTACATGTGTGTATTTGTGTGTTTTTGTTTTCAGAGAATATTGATCAATATGTTTGTTCTGACTAAATCATGTCGTGTGTTTGTCAGATGATTCTAACAGGAAGTCACCGACTGCAGAATATTAGATTATTTTACTGCTGTAAATTCTCAGATGACAACTCAGTGTTTTCGTAGAGTCCTTTCTCACCTGACCTGTTTGGTTTGGTGAAAATGAACCAGGTCTGTTTGTTAGTGTGGTTTGGGCTGGTGTGAAAGTTGTCAATCAAGTGCAGTGTAGTGTAGTATAATATAGTATATCAATCAATCAATTTTATTTATAAAGCCCAATATCACAAATCAAAATTTGCCTCACAGGGCTTTAGTAAAGTATAGTGTAGTATAGTATAGTATAGTATTGTGTAATGTAGGGTTGTGTAGTATAGTATAGTATTGTGTAATGTAGAGTTGTATAGTGTAGTATAGTATAGTATTGTGTAATGTAGAGTTGTATAGTGTAGTATAGTATAGTATTGTGTAATGTAGGGTTGTCTAGTGTAGTATTATATAGTATAGTACTGCGTAATGTAGGGTTGTGTAGTGTAGTGTAGTATAGTATAGTATAGTATTGTGTAATGTAGGGTTGTGTAGTGTAGTATTGTGTAATGTAGGGTTGTGTAGTGTAGTATAGGGTAGTATGGTATAGTATAGTATAGTATTGTGTAATGTAGGGTTGTGTAGTGTAGTGTAGTATAGTATAGTATAGTATTGCGTAATGTAGGGTTGTCTAGTGTAGTATAGTGTAGTATGGTATAGTATAGTATTGTGTAATGTAGGGTTGTGTAGTGTAGTGT